AGATGCGGTCTTCATCTTATCCTTTGCGAGATGCGGTCTTCATCTCTCCTTTTTCCTCAGATGCTGTCTTCATCTAGGATATGACTTCTAAGATGCGATCTTCATCTTATCCTTTGTGAGATGCGGTCTTCATCTCTCCTTCTTCCTCAGATGTGGTCTTCATCTAGGATGTGACTTCTAAGATGCGATCTTCATCTTATCCTTTACGAGATGTGGTCTTCATCTAGGACGTGACTTCTAAGATGCGATCTTCATCTTATCCTTTACGAGATGTGGTCTTCATCTAGGACGTGACTTCTAAGATGCGATCTTCATCTTATCTTTTGCAAGATGCAGTCTTCATCTCTCTTTCTTCCTCAGATGCAGTCTTCATCTAGGATGTGACTTCTAAGATGCGGTCTTCATCTTATCCTTTGCAAGATGCGGTCTTCATCTCTCCTTCTTCCTCAGATGCGATCTTCATCTAGGATGTGACTTCTAAGATGCGTTCTTCATCTTATCCTTTGCGAGATGTGGTCTTCATCTTTCCTTCTTCCTCAGATGCGGTCTTCATCTAAGATGTGACTTCTAGGATGTGACTTATAAGATGCGGTCTTCATCTCTCCTTCTTCCTCAGATGTGGTCTTCATCTAGGATGTGACTTCTAAGTTGCAGTCTTCATCTTATCCTTTGTGAGATGCAATCTTCATCTCTCCTTCTTCCTCAGATGCGGTCTTCACCTTATCCTTTGTGAGATGCGGTCTTCATCTCTCCTTCTTCCTCAGATGCGGTCTTCACCTTATCCTTTGTGAGATGCGGTCTTCATCTCTCCTTCTTCCTCAGATGCGGTCTTCATCTAGGATGTGACTTTCAAGATGAGGTCTTCATCTTATCATTTGTGAGATGCGGTCTTCATCTCTTCTTCTTCCTAAGATGCAGTCTTTATTTAGGATGTGATTTTCTAAGACACAACTTTGTCTCTCCTTTTTTCTTTTTTTCTTTTTTTGTGAGATTAAACTTTATTTCTTCTTCTTCTTGAGATGCAACTTCATCTAGGATGTAATTTTCCAAGATGCAACTTCATCTAGGATGTGATTTTCTAGGACACAACTTCGTCTTCTTCTTCTTCTTTTTCTTTCCCTTTTTTTTTTTTTTTTTTTTTTTGAGATGCAACTGGATCTCTTCTTCTTTGACAAGGATCTTGAATCAAATTAGAATTTCTTCAAACCTCAAATAATTTGTGCCTCTTACCAATGCTCAATTCAATCTTGAACTTTCATCAATATCATGACTTTGAACCTTACAGGCTCAAGAGATTCAAATGCCCTTCAGTGTCCTCTTGAACCGTTAGTAATCTTTTCCCTCTCTAATGATGCTTTAAATTTTATGAACATGTTTGTCACGCCCCAAATCCCGAAGCAAGACAGACACCGCGCACTCGTGAGCAGAGCCCACAAATGCACAAGGCTCGAAATCTACTGAGTTCTTACTTAGCAATTCAGACAATTCAGACAATTCAGATCTAAACCTTACCAAATATTTACCAGTCAAGATGTACAAATTTATCACTTCCTAAATACGATTATGACTAAAACTAAGGAAGTTCTGTACACAAAAATTTCTAAGTCAAGCATGGTGACTAACGACCTAGCTACAAAAATCTAAGTCCAAAAGTGCCTAGTCGTCTAGCTCGTCACTCTCCCGAGCTCCCCCTGTGTCGGGTCTCACTACCTGAAATGGTGGATAAGGAAAATTATGAGATAAACTCAGTAAGTAAAATATAGAGTGCCCATTATTAAACTCATAGCATGCTAACAAGTGTAATCACAAAAAAAAGGGATACGGTACAGGAACAAAATAGATGTCTCCTATATAGATCACGGCCAGTGTTATAAACCACCCACTGGCAAGCGCACTATTTACTAGTGTATAATCCCCACTAACAGGGTCACTCGAACGAACCAGCTCTATCACTAACAAGTCAACATGTGCTAGCGTATAATCTCCACTAGTAGGGTCACTAATAACATAACCACATCGGAGACAAAACAGGCTGAAGTTAACAAAAAATCATAATTCACCAATCACTTTCAAATCATCAAGACAATCAATTAAATTTCAAGTAAGCATGCTCAATTTAATGACAAGCATAAAAATTTCACTTTAAATAGATCATACTTGTGTAAAACGGGTTTAGTCCCGCTACCACTTCAAAAACAAATCAAAACATACTTTTAAAAACTATACGGGCATGACCATAAATTTACTTACCTTAATTGCACAGGACAGAAGGCTTAATCCGAGTGCTAGGATCACAAGGCAATCAAGGACCTAATCACAATATTTCCGATTTAATATCTATAAAGAAATTTTATTTTTTTATTTATTTTTATTTTTATTTTTCTATCCGAAATTGAGCATTCACTGGGATTGGGTATTTATATATATATATATATAATTACATAATTACGCAGACACAATTTTTCAAACTCATGGACAGGAATTGGGAGAACCGGCCTTGACAAAAAAATGGCCAATTCACAGAATTTTCCTCTTTTTCTTTCGGACAACACCACCACAGCAGCCACACCCACTAATTTCCTACATAAACCATCAGCTAAACCCATGCTCAAGTTGCCGAAATCCTCACTATTTCAACAGAATTTTCGGACAACCCAAGCCCATTTCATACAACCACTTAAACTCACAATCCAGCACTTAATCAACCAACTTTTCAGAGATTAGAGGAGCTAACCTACCAAAAATCCTCAGCAAGCAAGGCTGGAGCTGGCGGGTTTGGGAGGAGCCGGCGGGAAAATTGCAGGGGAGTCACGGAATGGCTAGAAATTGGAAGAAAAACAAGATTAGAGTGAACCTAACATAAATCAAGTGAAAAAGATGAAATTGATGGCTGATTCATACCCAAAAAGTCGAAAATTTCACACCCACACAAGCTGAAGCCGGCGGCAGAGAGGGGGGAGAAAACAGCAGATCCGGAAGTTCTGGGTTGAGAGAGAGAGTCCTAGGCTTGAAACTTGGTTCTTGAGCAAGAAAGGAGGGAAAATCTCAAGCTTCTACCGGTTTTTCCCAAAGGATGGCTGTCAGCTTGCTTGATTCCTTTTTTTTTTTTTTGTTTCGGCTGCAGCAGGGAGAAAGAAACAGAGCAGACACGCGAAGATGGCTGGGGAAGAAAGAAAAAAAGAAAAAAAGAAAAAAGGAAAGTCAGCCGGCCTTATACCCAAAAAGATTTTTTTGACCCCTTGACTTTTGAAAATTGATGATTAAGCTCAACAATATTATTTTCTCACAATTAGGTCCCTAGATCACACTTATTTGTTCTTGAAATTTTTGGGGTATTACAATGTTTGATTCACACACACTATCATCAAGAATTCAATGTATCTACTTGTCATTTTTTTTTTTTTAATGTCAAATCCTACACGCAAAAATGATGATTTTTGAACCTTTCAAAGATGTTGAAATCAATGTCAAATGCAATTATGTTTAAAACAATCATAGGTAAGATTAACGAAAAATCTTATGAAGCACAATGGATTATATGAACAAATAATATGATTTAACTTCCATGAGTATCAACTGCCAATTTGACCTAGAATACAATTAAGATGCCTTTTTCATACAATTTTTTTTTTTTTTTCAAAAGCAACTCCCAAAACACAAACTTCTTTTCTCACTTTTTGCTTTTGAGTCTTCCTTTTCTTTTTTCTTTTCTTTTTTTTTTTTTGTTCAAAAAGAAATTGATCCCTTTTTCACATATGAGCAAATTCCTCAAGAATAGCTTTGTAAGAATTTCAAATAGTGAAAGTGCCAATGAGAATTACTTCTTGAATTAGGAACCAAGTGGAATTTTGAGTTTTTCAAAAGCAATGAAATTTTCCTTCCCATTAAATCTCAACTTGTTTGCCACATTTATTTATGTTCATCTTCCTTCCTTCTTTCTTCTTCTTCTCTTTCTTCTTCTTTTTTTTCTTTTTTTTTTTTTTTTTTTTTTTTGAGAAATATCACACTCAGATTCAACAGCTTTCAAATTCTCTAATAAAGGCTTTGAATAAGCTTGTGTCATGGTCTAGGGCTTGGCTAATTAGAAGGAAAAGACATATAAGCCCAATGATAAAATCCCTTCTGGCCCCCCTAATTTCACTCTTCACACCCTAGGTTCTTGATGCAGGTACATTCAAAGAAATAATCATCTTGGCTTTTCTATTATGATGATTGCCTTTTCTTTTGGCTCAAAGTGGGTAACTAAGGTCAACTGTAGTGTTTGGGAAATAGAAACAAGGCCTTTCGTCATTGAACCTAAAAGCTCTTTAATCTGAGTATGATTTGCTATCCCTAGTTTGGTGAGTGCTATCATCAAAATGTCTACAAATATCCAACCCTCAAAAAGGACTTTTATGGATTGCTATAAGGCTTAGGTATGGCTACTGAAAGAATAGTCAATATAAGCTCAAAGTACCCAATTTGTCCCCCAATTGCATGCCATGTCTTAGAAAAAACTTTCTTCTCCTTTATTGGCTCCTTTATCCCCATTTTCTTCTTCTTCTCCTCTTTTTCT